CTAATGCACATACTGGGAGGCAGCAGATAATGGCCCAAATACTTGTGTTCCTGTCACTAATGCAGGAGACCTAAAAGTGAGTGTCAGGCTGTTGGCTTTGGCCTGGCCCAGTCCTGGCTGTTGTGGGCATTAGGGAGCATGAAGCAGCAGATGGAAAGGTTCTACCTTTCTCCGCATTTCAAATTAAAAAATTTTTTTCTTTATATAAGAGAAAGTACATAAAATCGACAAAAAACTGGAATGGGAAAAGAGAGGTTCTACTCAATTTAAAAGCAACATGTGCCTTAAATAGTCACTTGTCAACTCACTTTCATCCAGCAATGAAGTTTGTTGTATATATCTGTTTATTTAACTCAAAACTCCTCCAATAAACTGCTTTCTCACCCGTATATAAGCTTTAAAAGTCAGCTTTGTCCTCCCTCTCAAAATTAGAGGATAAACACATATTCTTAGGGGAAACAATCCCCAAAACCTGGTTATAGGAATCTAATTCTTTCTCTTTTTTTAGGATTTATTTATTTGAAAGAGTGACAAAGAAGGGGTACGGGGGAGAAAGATCCTCCATTTGCTGGTTCAATTCCCCAGAAGGCCATAATGATCAGGTTGAAGCCAGGAGCCTGGTACTCCATTGGGTCTCCTGTGAGGTAGCAGGGGCCTAGTACTTGGGCCTTCTTGCATTGCTTTCCCAGGGAGCAGCATTAACAGGGAGCTGGATTGGAAGAAGAACAGCTGGAACTTGAACCAGGACTCCAATAGAGGATGCTGGCATTGCAAGTGTCAGTTTAACCCACTGAGCCACATCCTAGACCCCAGGAACCAATTCTTTAGCAAGTCTTCCTTCATAAATTTTAGTAGTATTGAGGATATTTGGTAAGTGAAGGATATGCTTAATACATAGCTTAATTTATAAATGTAAGAAATAATCATGGGGGCCGGCGCCGTGGCTCACTTGGTTAATCCTCCACCTGAGGTGCCAGCATCCAATATGGGCACTGGGTTCTAGTCCAGGTTGCTCCTCTCCCAGTCCAGCTCTCTGCTGTGGCCTGGGAAGGCAGTGGAGGATGGCCCAAGTGCTTGGGCCCTGCACCCGCATGGGAGACCAGGAAGAAGCACCTGGCTCCTGGCTTCGGATCTGCACAGCACGCCGGCCGTAGTGGCCATTTGGGGAGTGAACCAATGGAAGGAAGACCTTTCTCTCTGTCTCTCTCTCTCACTGCCTATAACTCTACCTGTCAAAAAAAAAAAAAAAAAAAAAAAAAGAAAGAAAAAAGAAATCACAATAAAAATGATTGTCAAAATATATTTTGTTCACACTTTCACTATTTATGTCAAGTTTTGTAAAAAGTTCACATGCTGTGATCTAGACATTTTGTTTCTAGAAATCTTGGGGGGTAGAATAAGGGACATTGTTTAAGTTTCACTTAGAAATATGAATTTATATTCCAAGTGGAATGATTGATTTTGGCCCAGCCATCTGGTTCTCCCATGTGAATGCAGGGTTCAAGTACTTGGACCACCTTCAGCGGCTTAACCTACTAAGCCATACAAGTTGGTCAGCTCCTTGCCCCTTTTTTATATTTTTTAAAAGATTTATTTATTTGAAAGACAGAGTTACAGAGAAGTCCTCTGTCCTCTGGTTCATTCCCCAAATGGCCACAATGACCAGGGCTGGACCAGACTGAAGCCAGGAGCTTCATCTGAGTGTCCCACGTGAGTGGCAGGGGCCCAAACATTTGGGCCATCTGCTGCTGCATTTCCCAGGCACATTAGCAGGAAACTGGATTGGCAGTGAAGCACTAGGATACAAAATAGCACCCATATGGGATGCCAGTGTCATAGGTGGTAGCTTAACCTGCTGTCCCAACGTTGTGCCCAGGACACCCACATTCTGTTTCAGGGTGCCTGGGTTTTAGTATTGACTCTGGCTCATTATTTCGACTTTCTGCTAACACCACACACTGGGAAGTGGCTAGTAATGGAACAAATGATTAGGTCCTTGTTCACCCGAGAGGGATTGAGTTCCTAGGCATTTGGGGAGTAAACGAGCAGATGAGAACTCTTTGGGGCTGTCCCTTTGTGCTCCTCAATTAAAAAAAAAAAATATATATATATATATATATGTGTGTGTGTGTGTGTGTGTGTATGCTAAAGATATATATATACATATATGTGTGTGTGTGTGTGTATATATACTAAAGATAAATATCTTTAAATCTATGAAATTGATTAAATTTTCTGCATAAGAAAAACAGCAGGGTACAGTGGGTTAAGCTGCCACCTGCAGTGCCAGCATAACATATGGGCATGGGTTCAAGTCCTAGATGCACCACTTTCTATCCAATTCCCTGCTAATGTGCCTAGGAAAGCAGCAGAAGATTGCCCAAGTGCTTGGGTCCCTGCTACCCATGTGGGAGACCTGGATGAAGTTCCTGGATGAAGTTCCTGGCCCAGCCTCTGCCATTTAGGCCATTTGGGGAGTCAACCAGAGGATGGAAGCGCTCTCTCTCCATCTCCCCTATCCCCCATAACTCTGCCTTTAAATAAATAACAATCTTTTTAAAAAATTTCTCCAAAAAATAAAAAAAGAAAAACAACAAAAAGTTTTGGATGGCATTTAAAAACACCGTAATCAATGTCAAGAAATAAATGAATAACAAAAATGTCTATAGTTCAGTTACAAAGAGGCCAATTCTCTAATATGTAAAGAAATTAAAGAAGTCAGTAATAAAAAAGTGAATCTGATATAAAAAATCAGCAAAGTTGTTGAACAAGTAGGGTACAGAAAAGAACATGTATGAAGCTTCAAAACATGGAAAAACTAACATGCATGAGAAGAACAAAGTTAAACAGAGATGTCATGTCCATTTTCAGATATCTAGAAATTCTAAATTTTTAAATCATTCAGAATTATTCTCCCAGTGCACATATAGTAATTGTCAAATGACTGATAGTAGGAATATAGATTATTTCACTTTCTATGGTGGACAATTTGTAATAGCTGTCAAAATTGTAAAAATTTATACTGTTTGAGCTAGTAATTTGACTTTTAGAGGTGTGTATTAAAAATGTACATGTGTGAAATGGAGATGATATATGTGAGATTGCTAATTGAAGCATTTTTGTAACAGTAAAAAATTATAAATAAGCTTAGTATCCATCAGTGGGAACTGTTTGAAAGTATTATGGTACATTCATATAATGGAATGTTTAGCCATTGCAAAAGAATAAAGAAGCTCTATATGTCTGACATGGAAAGATTTCTAAAATGTATTGCTAAATGGAAAAAGCTAGGCTTGGAGACATATTTTGGTGTACTCCATGTGTTCAAAAGGATTGGGAGGAGATTACAAGTCATGTGTGTGTCCAGACACAAGTCTCTAGAAGGACATAAACTATTAAACAGTGAGTGTGAATATCTTTATTTGTGCATGCATGAAAGGAACTAGGTCAGGGCCTAGCATAACTGTTGTTTTGCAAATTAGAAAAGGGAGCTACTTCTTCAACAACTTAATGTTTCTTTAAAAGTTGTACTAATAATAGTGCAAGACACTTGGCAGCCATTCACCTGAAAATTTTAGTAAAAATTGGTAATGTTGAAGGATTTCTGTCTTAAAAATTCTAGACTAAGCTTTTCATTATATTAAAGTAAGCCTTTTAGGTAGGAAATTTAACTTAATCTGTAGCTCATTTATGATTTTCTAATAGTTTCTAATAATAAATAGAGAATATATTATTTTTCTGATAACTAATAATAGTTTACTAATTCATTATAGTTTTAGAAATATTTCATTTTATTAAGATCACCTTTTTCACTAAAGGGAGATTTTTTATTATTCATTAAGAGAATAATATAATTTGATGAATGTACCTTTTTTTCTTAGAAGATTTATTTATTTATTTAAAAGGCAGAAAGAGAGACCAAGAGGTAGAGATAGAGGCAAAGACTGAGAGAGATCTTCCATCTTCTGCTTCACTCTCCAAATGGTTTTAACGCCCCAGGGCTGGGCCAAGCCAAAGCCTGGAGCCTGAATTCCATACAGGTCTCCCATGTGGGTAGCAGGAGCCCAAGCACTTGGACCATCTACTGCTGGCTTTCCAGGTGCATTAGAGGGAGCTAGATCGGAACTGGGACAGCTGATCCACCTTATAAAGGATGCTAACGTCACAGGCAGTGACTTTAACCTGCTGAGCCATAATGCCAGCCCCAAGTGTACTTCTAGATTTTTAAAAAATGTATTTTGAATTATATGATCCTAAAATTTTTAATTATTTAGAAATGTAAGATTAGGTGACAGAATGAAATACAGAGGGTAATGTTATGGTAGAGTGGGTTAAGCCGCCTCTTGTGACACCAGCATCCCAGGTCGGAATACTGGTTCAAGTCCTGGCTGTGCTACTTCTGATCCAGCACCCTGCTAATGTGTATGGGAAGGCATTGGAAGATCACCCAAATACCTGGACCCCTGCCATTCATGTGGGACACCTAGATGGAGCTCCTGGCTCTTGGTATCAGCCTGGGCCTACACCTGGCTGTTGTAACCATTTGAGGAGTGACCCAGCAGATGGAAGATACATCTCTGTCTCTGTCTCTGTCTCTCCTGCCCCCCTCACTTTCTGTCACTCTGCCTTTCAAATAAATAAATCTTAAAAAAGAGAGTAAAATACAAAACTATGCATTCCCTAACATTCTTCTTTGTTTATACATACTGTATTTTTACTTTTATGTATTCTGTGTATATTATATATGTGGATGATGTGTCCATATATATAAAATTTTAGTACAGTAATATTTTATATACTTAAATAGGTTTGTATTCTTGTGCATGTGTATGTATGTCTTAGGAAAGAAAACCTAGAAGAAATTAAACTAAATTGTAATATTTCAAATGAATGAGAAAATATTTTCTTCATGCTTTTGTTATTTTCCTAGTTGTTTCATAAATTTTTCAGTTTTTTTCACTAAGAATTTACACTGAAGCATTTTTTTTCTTTATGAAAAGAGTTTTTCAGCTTATCTCTTTAATGGATACTGGATTGCCTCAGTGTTCTAATGAGAAAATAGAGCTTGCAGTTCTGTGGTTCCTGGATCAGTTTCGTAAAACATATGTTGGTGATCAACTTCAAAGAACCTCAAAGGTAGGTTTTTATAACTGTAGATTTTGAAAAATGTTATTGAAGATGAAGAAATATAACAGTCTTAAGCTGAATGATACATTTAGGAAATTTCTACTAAGAAATCTAATTTACCATTTGAAATCAGTTGATGAGTTGGTACTGAAATGTAGAGTTTGTTTTATACCTAGATTTATCAATTTTTTGAAGATTGATTAGCAGAACAGTAAATAGTTTTACATTGGTAGTCATTAAATCCTTAAAATTATTTCAGTTAATGAATTTTGCCTTACTGGTTTCTATTTCAAGATAAAAGCGTAAGATTTGCTATAATAATAGTTCTGAGGTTTTTTTGGACACATACATGGTTTCCAGTATATTCCACTCATTCCTTCACATTTTTATATGCTACATAATGAGAATTAGGAGAGTTAGATGTGTCCTTGAGAGGCTTAATGTAGGGAATATTTTAGTATGATCATCGAAAGTTTAACATCAATGAGTTTAGATTAATTGATCTTGAGGCATAATGTGGGATTGAGGTCATTTATGTGAACCCTAAGTAGATACTTAGTGGTATAGTGGTACCAGCCTGCAAGATTGGTATTACTGTTCCCATCTTACTAATGCAAGAACAGATTCTCTGAGATATTTAGGGAGTGCACCATACTGTCAGTCTGTGTCCATGAATTCCACAGCTGTGGATTCAGTCGACTGTGTGAAATGAAAAATGTTCAAAACAAACACGGTACCCATACTGAACACATAAGACGTTTTCTCTTTGATATTTCCTAAACAGTGTAGTCTAGCAATTTTCATTTACATTGTATTAGGTGAATTACAAATGATCTAGAGATAGTTTAAAGCATATGAGAGGATATGCTTATCTTTTATGCAAATATTATGCCACTTTATATAAAGAAATTGACCATCTTTGGATTTTGATATTTAAAGAGAGTCCTGAAACCAAGCCACTGCAGATATAAAGGGACAACCATCTCTATGACACAGAGACCTTGAGACTTTTTTTTTCTCGTTCTGGAATTGTAATACCACAAAACCTTCTCGGTTAAGAGTCCTGAGGATATTCTTTCTCATTTGGATTTATAGTTTGTTCTAGTAATGTTGGAGGATTTATTTGAGAGTTCTAAAATAAAATTTTTATACTCGATTTAGCTTTTTTATTCTAGAAAATTTAGCTCAATCTTCAGTTCACATATGATTTTCTGGCAATAATAATTGTACAGCACTATGGAAAAATATTGATTTTAAGATTATCCTTTAGTTTATTTCAGGTATAGTTTTTATAACTTTTTAGGGAAAACAATATAGCTTGATGCTTCCTTTGTTGATTATATTGTAATAATTTATTTGTTTTTAGTATTAATAGCAATAAAATTTTTGTAGACTTTAGCTGCCATTGAATGAGACAAGCAGTAACTAGAAATAAATTTTTTGGATGATCACTAAGACAAAATAGAATCAGACAAAAATTACATGATATAAATTTTATACAGGGAGCCTCCTTTTAAATGTCAGATATGCTTCTTAAGGTGGAATATATATCAAATTATGGCAAGTTCTCTTTTTTTAAAGATTTATTTTATTTATTTGAAAGAGTTACAGAAAAAGAGAGAGAGGTCTTCCATCCACTGGTTCACTCCCTAGATGGTTGCAGTGGCCGGAGCTGAGCTGATCCGAAGCCAGGAGCCAGGAGCTTCTTCCAGCTCTTCCATGTGGGCCATCCTCTGTAGCTTTCTCAGGCACATTAGCCGGGAGCTGGATTGGAAGTGGAAGAGCCAGAGCTTGAACAAGCACCTATATGGGATGCTGGCATAGCAGGTGGGGCTTTAATCTGCTGTGCAACAGCACTGGTCCCAGATTCTTTTTTAAATATACCCAGAGAGTTCATTATTTTGCCTTTGTAAAGGTGCATAATCCTGAAATGTTACTTATCCTGTATGCTTTTGGCATGGGTTTTAGAACAGTATAATGTGCAATAGAAAATCCTTATTATTGCTTTCAAGTACTTGGACAGAAATATGTAAAATGAGACTAGTTATTTTGGACAGTGGAATTTGAGAGTTTTTTTCAAATTTTTTGTTTTAATATAAATTAGGTGTGAAAAAGTTACAGATTAGTTTATATTTTTGAAAAAGCTTACATATTAGGAAAATCAACACCAGTTATCAGACTGTATTGATACTTCTGCAGTAATTTTAAGAAATTTGGATGCATGAATCTTATTATCAAATGGAGCTTAGTTCTAAGATGACTTTATTTCAAAGTCATTACTATCAAATAATCCTAAAGTGAAGCTAAAGCATCCAGTTTTTCAGTTTTTCTGATTACTTCGCTTATCTGTCTTAAATAGAACATGTTTTGGTGTCCATTAAGGACATTAAGAACTGTTTACATTTTATTTATCCATTTTTGTTTTCCTAGAGGAGTTTTCACTGTTTTTTTTTTATTCATTTATTTTTTTATTTATTTGAAAGGCAGAGTTAGGAGGAGAGACAGAGATCTTCCATCTATTCCATAGAATATACAGAGATATTCCATCACTCCCTAAGTGGCCACAATGGCTGGGGCTGCGCCAGACTGAAGCCAGGAGTCAAGAGCTTCCTTTGGGGGTCCCATGTTGGTGTGGGTACCCAAGCACTTGGGCCATCCTCACTGCTTTCCCAGGCACATCACTAGAAAGCTGTACTGGAAGTGGAACAGTTGGGTCTCTAACCTGCACCCTTATGGATGCCAACATCACATATGGAGCTTTAACCTGCTGTGCCACAACACCGGCCCCTGTTTATCCCTTTACAGCAGGTCAGCAAGGTTGGTATTACTGTTCCCATTTTACTAATGAAAGAATAGACTCTCTTAAGACATTTGGTATGTTCTGTATACAGTTAGCCCTCCATTTATGGGTTCTACATCTGTGGGTTTCACCAACTGTGGATGGAAAATATTTGAAAAAGACTATTGTGCCTGTAACTGAACATGTGCAGAATTGTGGTTTTTGTTTTTTTTTGTCATTCTCCAAACAATACAGTATAACAGCTGCATAGCATTTATATCTTTTTAGGTGTTATAAATCTGTAGATGATTTAAAGTACACAGGAGAGTGTGTATAGGTTATATGCAAATAAATACTTCACAATTTTGTATGCGTTACTTGAGCATCCACAGACATTAGTTTCTGTGACAGTCCTGGAACCAGTTCCTCATGGATACTGAGGAACAACTGTATTCTATTTTTCTGGCAACCAGCTAAGGAAGACTAGGTAGAAAATCTTGGGGGCTAGGTAAAGCTGCTGCCTGCAGTGCTGGCATCCCATATGGGCAATGGTTCGAGTCTGGCTGCTCCACTTCTGATCCAGCTCTCTGCTATGGCCTGGGAAAGCAGTGGAGGATGGCCCAAGTCCTTGTTCTCCTGCACCCGCTTGAGAGACCGAGGAAACTCCTGGATCCTGGCTTCAGATTGGTGCAGCTCCGGCCATTGTGGCCATCTAGGGAGTGAACCAGCAGATAAAGACCTCTCTCTCTGCCTTTCCTTCTCTCTCTGTGTAACTCTGACTTTCAAGTAAATAAATAAATCTTTTTTTTTTTTTTTTTTGACAGGCAGAGTGGACAGTGAGAGAGAGAGACAGAGAGAAAGGTCTTCCTTTTGCCGTTGGTTCACCCTCCAATGCCCACTGTGGCCAGTGCACCGCGCTGATCCTAAGCCAGGAGCCAGGTGCTTCTCCTAGTCTCCCATGCGGGTGCAGGTCCCAAGCACTTGGGCCATCCTCCACTGCACTCCCGGGCCATAGCAGAGAGCAGGCCTGGAAGAGGGGCAACCGGGACAGAATCCGGCGCCCCGACTGGGACTAGAACCTGGTGTGCCGGTGCCGCAAGGCGGAGGATTAGCCTATTGAGCCGCAGCGCCGGTGTTAAATAAATAAATCTTAAAAAAAAAAAAAAAAGAAAGAAAGAAAGAAAATGTTTCTTGATGGGTATATTTTCCAAATCCAAATTTTGGCAAAAAAGCTTACTAGGTAACAGAAATTAGATAATAGTAAAAATTAGTATGCCTTTATTTCTTGCTAGGAACTGTGCTAAGCACCTTTAAGCATTTTCTCATTTAGTTGCATCGATTGGTACTTACAAGGTTCTACCTAATTTCTCTTCAGCATATGTTGCCAGCTTCAATCTTCAGTACCCTACAAAATGCTAAACTTGCACCACTTACAGTATGTGTTCTAATGTTTCAGTCTGTGTCCTCTTTCAGTTCTAAATATTAGAACAAAATGTTCCCTCTTCCTGGGACACTATTTTTTAAAAATCCAGCCTTTTCTTATCTGCTTTATTCTGTTAACTGTCGTTTTCACTTCTCATCTTTTGGATGTCCTTCCTAACTTTCAAGTTCAAGGGGCATTCTTTTTATCTGTATTCTGTAACATCTGTATAACCCTTCTTTTAGTATTTATTACACTGCATTGTAATTATTTGTTAGCAAAGCATGGTTAGACTGTAGTTTTGATAATGACTATTTCTGCCTTGTTGTTATCCCCAGTGGCCTGGCATGTTGGTTGTATGCTGTTGATATGTGTATTTAGTAGAATTCTGTAGGATTTGGGCCTAGATCTTTTGTATAATACTTTCAGATAATAAAGGTTATGTTCTTGAGTTGGGAGATGATACTGACTTGAATGAAATTATTCAATAGTTTTAAATGTAGTATTTTTTAAAGATTTATTTATTTATTTGAAAGGCAGAGTTACAGACAGGCAGAGGCAGAGAGAGAGAGAGAGAGAGGTCTTCCAGCTGATGGTTCACTCCCGAGATGGCTGCAACAGGCCAGAGCTGTGCCGATCCGAAGGCAGGAGCCAGGAGCTTCTTTGGGTCTCCCATGTGGGTGCATCTTTCACTGCTTTCCCAGGCCATAGCAGAGAGCGGGATTGGAAGAGGAGCAGCTGGGACTCGAACCGGCGCCCATATGGGACGCTGACACTTCAGGCCAGGGCGTTAACCCACTATACCACAGC